TAACTGTCAAAAACCGCGAAAAAAACTATATTTTTAGGGTATTTTATAGAAGTTGTTCCTTGGATTTAGCGATCCCGAACACAAACGTGGTACGGCGGTAGCGGGAGCAAGTGCGGTAGTGACACGGGATTAGAATTATTAAAAAATGTGGTGGGATTTAATACATTTCATCCTAAAGCGTTATTTCGCTTACATGTCCTACCACATGTTTTTAATCCCACGACGCTGCCCCTCCCACGGTACCACACTGGTGTGTAGGATCCTTTAATGAACATTTTTACGTGAACTAGCAGACAGAATAGCTAACTAGGCTTCGAACCTAGGACCCCTAGATTCAGTAACCGCCGAAGTTTGCAGATTGTAGCACTAACACGTTAAAAGTTGACAAAACACTTGACCGATTGGGCAAAAATGAACCGACGGCATCTGTATCTCAGTTGGTATAAGACTAGTAATCTAGAAGTCCTAGGCTCAAATTCTAGTCTCGTCCAAACTTTTCGTAAACTAAGCCACTGGAAAAATTAACTCACGCTCACGCTCACACTATATTAACTGCATAACTAGATGTTCGATGAGGTATTTGTTAGATTTTTGTTTATTTGAGTTACTGGTTCACGAGTTATTTGATCCATATACCTAGTTAATTTACGTTAAATTTTTGTTTCCAATAGAAGTTTTGATGATTTATTGAAATCCACTTCTTTGCTTACTTACTACACTAGTGTTATGAAAGTCCATCTAGTAAAAAACTAATTTACAATTATCGAGCATCTTAATATTTAATTTTAAAGGTTGATTGTTTGTCAGTATAATATTTATAAGAAAATTCGTTCGTGACATAGCAGACAGAATTGTAGCTACTTAAAAGTTAACGAAGAGTTTGAGTTAGACGCGACTACTGAACCTAGAGGTTCTTAGTTCGAAGCCTAGTCGAGTCCAAACTTTTAGTTAACTTTTCAATTAGCAATTATTCTGTTTGCTAGGTCACGAACGATTTCCCTTATTTATAATTAATTTAAGAACAAGGTGAAATTTTTAGGTTGAATAAAGATGTATCCTATAGTCAATTTATTTACCTACATGTTAAAAAATTGAAATATTTCATTTTAAATAAAATAACTAACGAACTACGGCTGGATATGATTTGTTTTATTAAAAATAGTCATTAAAACAATTGAAGGATCCTACACACCAGTGCGGTACTGCGGGAGGGGCAGCGTCGCGGGATTAAAACATGTAGTAGGATATGTAAGCGAAATAACGTTTAAAGGTAGGCGCAGAATGACGCGGGACTGCGTTAGCGGGAGCGGGAATGGGAGCGAAACGTTAGATGCGGCAGCAGGGAGTTTGCATAGCATGCACACCAACACGATAGTTTCTGCCATACTCGAAACACGTGGTAGCGTCCAAACAATGCGAACTGCGGAAAAACGCTGCATGCTACGAACCGAAATTATTTCGCACACATCCCGCAAATCGCATGCGTTCTCTCCGTAACGGTATATAGGTAGGCGTAGGCCGACGCGGGACTGCAGGAGCGGGAGCGGGAACGAGAACGATGCGTTGGATGCGGCAGCAGGTAGTCGGCATAGCATGCACACCAACGTGATAGTTTCCGTCATGCTCGAAACACGAGGTAGCGTCCAAACAATACAAAAACATCATCAAACTACTATGCAAACTGCGGGAAAATGCTGCACGCTGTGAACCTAAATTCGTTCGCAAACATCCCGCAAATCGTATGCGTTCTCTTCGTACCGGTATGCACTTCTTCATATCTCGCCGTTAATTTACGTCCCACAAAAGTTTCGTTCCCGCTCCCGCTCCCGCTTCCGCAGGCCCGCGTCAGTCTACGCCTACCTTTAGAATGGAATGGATTATATCCCACCACATATTTTAATAATTCTAATCCTGTATCGCTACAGCACTTGCTCCCGCTACCGCCGTACCACGTTTGTGTTCGGGATCGCTAAATCCAAGTAACAACTTCTATAAAATACTCTAAAAATATAGTTTTTTCGCGGTTTTGACAGTTAAAATTATTGAAACTATAAAGTGTTATATATCATTAAAATCAGAAAAAAAAAAACCTAATTTAATGGTGTGAAAATATATAGGGTGTCCTATTTAAAAAAGTTGAAATTTTGACTATATCTCGACAAATAATACCCCTAAAAAAAATCTGAGTACGCCACTGGATTCTACATAAAAAATCACACAAAAACGTAATTTGACATTTTTAAAAAAATTTGATAACAACTGAGATACAGAGGAAAACAGAAATCAGCTATTTTCCAAAAAACCCCTGTATATCGAAAACAAATGAATTTCGAAAAATTCTGAGTGGTCCATTGAACTATACTCAAAAAAATAGATCGCGACACTTTGTATATTTTTTGTATCTATCACCGTTTAGGCTGTACCTGGTATTCCCACCCAAAATAACTCACCCTGTACATGTATGGACTGGCCACTGCATATATAAAAATATTTCTCTACATAATATTATGTGATATCCCAGCTAGCAATGCCACGTCAATATCACGTTAAAAAAACGTCACCATTTACGTCAAAATCACTAAATTGATGACGTAAATTACACGTTTTTAAGACGGTAATATGTCACAGATATTCGACGTCATTATGCGACGTGAAAAAGACGTTCCTATTTACGTCTAAAGTCATCAAATTGCGACGTGAATTTACGTTTTTATGACGACAATATGTCAGATATTCGACGTCATTATGGGACATTAAAATGACGGAAAATTTGTGTCCTGTACGATGAAAAACTTACCTACATTTTGGGGATTATGGATAATAAAATTGAAAAATTGATTACCTATAGACTATATTTATTGCACAAACATCATTTTAACTCTTATATTGTTATTGAATAATGAAAAAAAATAATTAAAAAAAAAATTGAATTCCAAAATAATAAATGACAAAGAATACAAATAAGAAAATAAATATGGAATATGTACAGGGTGTTTCCTTATATTTTGACGCCTACCTACAGCTTAAGCTATAAGACGTGGAAAAAACTTCAAATATGAAAGTTGTACGGTTTTATCGGTAGTATTTTTTTTTGACCCTTCTAAAACGGAAAATCAGGGCTAAATATATATTTTTTTTAAATTGAACACCCTGTACGTTTTTAGCTCTAATGAAAGTAATTTTTCTCCTATTTCCAATGTTTACTTACCTGTTTTAAAAGCGCCAAAATACACTACGGATAGAACCGTACAACTTTCATATTTAAAAAAATCCACCTCCTATAGCTCAATCTGTAGGTAGGGGTCAAAATATGAGGAAACGCCCTATACCTACTTACAAAATAAATTTAATTCTAGAATAACATACAACCGAGAATGGAATAGAAACAGAATACTTATGCATAAACAAAGTTTTAATTCTTAAATATTAAGTAGTTAGGTACCTTGACAAAAAAAACAAATAAAAATAGAATTCTAAAAAATCAAAAATTAATTCTAGAATAAATATTAACATAATACAGGGTCTGTTCCTTATAATTAGTGCAGCCTCTACAACTTGAACAAAAAAAAAAAGTGAAAAAAAAAAACTTAAATACAAAACTTAGGGTTTAATCTCTATCATCTTTGGCACATGTCAAAACGGGCAAATGACAGGGGCAAATGACAGGTGCCAACTGTCATAATGACAAACACTTGCATTTGTTAAATAGATTACCCTGTATATTTTTGGATAGAATGATATATTTTTTTCTTCTGATTCCAAATATACCATATATGTTGATATTTATTTGGTTCAGCTGCTTTTACGCTATACATACTTAATAAGTTTAAAAATGCATTTACATTACCCTAAATTAGGTCTGTTTCGGTTTCTTACATCAATGATGAATGAGGCTTGCTCAATGCAATTTTAAAATTAAATAATGCAAAAACAGCTGAACCAAACATTAACATATGGTATATTTGAAATCGGAAGAAAAAAATAATTCTAGTCAAAAATATCCAGGGTGCTCCATTTAAAAAAAATACAAGTGTTTTCATTATGACAGTTGGCACTTGTCATTTGGCCGTTTTGACATTCGCAAAAGATAATGGTGATAAGACCCTACGACTTTTGTATTTTACTTTTTTTTTATATACCTATTTTTTTTGTTTAAACTGTAGAAGCTGTACTAATTATAAGGATAAGACTCTGTACACAGTTAGTTTATGGCGATTTAGAAATTTACCACACAATTAATTTTAGTCTTATAGTCCAGGAGGTGGCGCCAAAAACATGCAAGAGTTTTCGCAAGGCGGATATTTTCAAAATAGGTCGTACTTTAGTGCTAGAATACTAGTGTACAGTCAGCACTCACAGTTTCGGGACAGCTGGCTCTGGGACGCGGGCAAAGTTGTAATTTTAAGAAGCATCTAAACTGTTTTCTCAAAGCTCAAAATTTATAGAAATTTTGCACATTATCTGTTTGAAGGTCACAGATAACGTATGTAAATCGTCAGACGTCTAGTTCGTTGCAAAAAGGGGGTCAGACGTCCTCAAAGTTTTTATTTTATGGCATTTTCTTCAAATATATTTGTCAAATACCTGCAAAAATATATTTTGACAGGACACCGAAGAAAATGCCATAAAATAAAAACTTTGAGGACGTCTGACCCCCTTTTTGCAACGAACTAGACGTCTGACGATTTACATACGTTATCTGTGACCTTCAAACAGATAATGTGCAAAATTTCTATAAATTTTGAGCTTTGAGAAAACAGTTTAGATGCTTCTTAAAATTACAACTTTGCCCGCGTCCCAGAGCCAGCTGTCCCGGAACTGTGAGTGCTGACTGTACACCTATTTTGAAAATATCAGCCTTGCGAAAACTCTTGCATGTTTTTGACGCCAGCTCCCCAACTATTATATTTGAAGAAAGGCAATTTCCAATCTATGATGTTTCTGAAGGTGGATATGGTCTGTATGAATGAAATGGTAATTATTAACAATAATTTTAATAGGAGAATGAATGAAATATACTCATTGAGTTTTTTCTCGTTTTTTGAGTTTCATGGCTACTCAGGTTGGTCGGTCATTTCCAGTTTAGTAAATTGGAGGCATAAAATTAATAAAAAATTAAAGACGAACATATTTTTAAAATTCCAAAAATTGTAGATACTGTATAGGAATAATTGAATATGTATGTATAAACGAAACCGCGCATTTTCATTTCATATAATTAAACCTTGCAAGTGTGAAAGAGGGGAATTGATACAAAATTATCCTGATATGGCAAAAGCATACATTTTCCAATTATTTCAGAAATATGCCAAGTTTTTGTGAAGTTGGTTAAACCTGAAACTAAATGTATATGTAAATCACTGGAATCAAATGGATAATCATAATAGGAGTCACATGAAGTAAAATACCTGCCAATAATCTTAATTTCATTATTATCATTGTTTTCCCTAATTAAGTTTTCTATTTGAATAACATAGGCATTGGTGAAACAGTAAGAGTCTGCTTTTGAGTACGAATGGATAGTAAAAAAATTGTTTTTCAAAGATAATTTTCTAAACTTTTTAGATAGTTGATTACTACTGCATGGTCCGTTGTAGTGTTCAAATTCTAACTTCACTTCGTGATTCAAAATCGTACAGGTATTTACTGATTCTAACTCAATAATTCTTCGACAAATTTGTTGCAATGGTTTTGTAGAAGACCTAACTAAACTCTTTATGTTTCCCAAATAATTTTCAAACGGGAAAGCCGAAAAACTATCAAGTGAGCCAAACTTCAAAACATCATCTGGAAGATGACTTAAAACGTGTATATTGTAAATTGGAAATTCAGGCCCATATAACTTTTGTCCATGGCTAATAAAGGTTTCAAAAATTCTTTTGGAGTTTTCACAATTTTTTTCTCTTGACAAATTATTTTCAGACATTAATAGTATTATACCAGTATGAAACAAAAGAAAATGATTATAAATAGGGGCACTAACAATATCTTTCAACACTACAATTCCTGTATACAAAAGAAATGTTCTAAATTCGGTAGCCTTAAATTTTGGCAGCTCAGACAAAGGTCTTGGCTTACGATTGATTTCCCCTGGAATAAAACTCACACAGTTTACCAGTCTGTTTGAAATAAAAGTTACTAACCTCGTTGGTAATCTAACATTTAAATTGCCTCCTACCCAAGAATTTAAAAGCTTTTTCATCACACCAAGGCAAACATTGTGCATGTAATCAATCGGAAAGATATTTACCATGTCAATGTCTAAATTAAGCAACGGAGAAATTCCAACATGATGATCTTCATCAAGCTGCTCTCTTAATGAATTATTTGTCCTCTTAGCACTATTAGTGTTTTTGAGAACGACTCTGCCATTTATGTAATCACCAATTTCAATACATTTGTCACAACTTGAATATCCACTATGTGATTTGATGCACTTAATAAAAGCTTTAGCTGGGGCATCACAAATGAAGCTATGAATAACAATTGAGTACCTTCTATTTTCAAATAGTAAACCATCTTCTTTTAAATTATTACATTCCCTAATGAATGAATCCAAATATAAATCAAGAGGACAGGGTTTGGAGTTTCCACAAAAGATACCAACAGCAAAGGGATTCTGATCATTGAAATTTTTAATTAAACCTAGTATAGGCCATGCTTGTATATTGGAGCTCTTGTACAGAGGAATACCATCAATATTGAAACTAACATTTATAATGTTGTCATTAAAGTTTCTGTATTTTTCTAAAAAAAATCTCACAGCTCTCTCTAGGCCTAAATGTATATATGATCCAGTATTTAATTCTGTTATATTGAAACATTGTGGGGTGGACAAAAGAGTGCGACTATCAAGGGGAAGTTCTGAATGATATGGTTTCAAAATATGTAAAAGTTTTGTTAAAGCACAGTGGGTGACTTTTTGTGATATTGCCCAACTTTTTAAATCAAATTTGAGGTCACTATTTGGATTATTTTGATTTTTTGCTGTAACCTGCTGCTGCTCTTGGGAAGGATCTTCATTATCAGAATCTTGCAATAAATCAGTAGGTTTGAAAAAAAAATCATGTGCTGGAATTGAATCCGACACTGAATTGTCAGAATCAAGCTGCAAGTTATCTGAAATTTCAACTGACTTTGGCGGTTCGATTATATTTGATGAACTACTACTCTCAAAATTATTATTATTGCTAGAACCAGCATCCAAAATAAATCTATTTAATTCACTGTTCACACGTCTGTACATTTGTCTCTGGGAAACTATCTTTTTTAGTTTAAGTTTTGGCATCTTGCAGAAAATGAAAGCAGGCAAAAATCCGGCTAATTGTATTATGGTGAATTGAATTATTGGTTACGATTTTTGGTGGATATTTGTGTTTTTGCTGGATATTTGTGTTTTCAATGTATATTTGTGTTTATGATCAATATTTTTAGGTATTATTATAACATAACCCAACAATTCAACACATATGGTTTTGTTTGGAGTGATATTTGAAGCCGTCTTCAACCTGATAAAGTACAAAAACTAGTAAAATGTATCAAGTTTCATCATTATTTTCATTTTGACACACAATAGTATAAAGTATAAGTAAAATCACAAATCAGTGAAAATTATATTTATCACCTACCAACTATTTTATTTTTGTACATTTACCTTACGTTATGGATCTCAGAATGTTATTTTAATTTTCACTAGGAGTGAAAAGCGATTATTTTAGATTTAAAAACTGTTTTTTATTTTCCTTTTTTTTTTAAGAGTTTGAGTGTTTCGTTTCAATAAAAAAGTGTTATTATATTTTTTAAATTTTTCCTTTTTTAAAAATTTTTGTGTGGATTTTTGTATTGATGGATATTTTTGTAAATTATTATGGAAATATCCATCAGAAATTCATGCAATCACCAAAGTGGAGAGAGAAAATTGTTTGCCAACCCCGAATATGTGTTAATTACGTGTAAGTAAATAGCTAAATTGCCACAAAATCCTAAAATGACTTAAATATATATATATATATATATATATATATATATATATATAAAATGACTTATATATATATATATATATATATATATATATATATATATATATATATATATATATATATATATATATACTTGAATATTAAACGTTCAACAAGTTCTTGTTTTTCTTTTTTCTTTCAAGTGCTGCCCTTTTTGGGGCATGCTTAAGCCAAACTTTGATCAAACCATCAATATCAGCAGCATCCCCTTCACATTTCGACAATACAGCATCTATTAAAAAAAGTAATTTTCAATGGAGTGTTTTAAGCGTTTCGAGAAGGCAAATGAACAAATGAGAGTAAATAAGCAAGAAATAGATACTTACTGACAACAACTTTTCTCAGTTTTAGGTTTGCAAATGGACGCTTATCCTGTCTGGTGCCCAAAAAGCTGAACTCGGCTGCAACTCTGTTGGAGAGCAGATTCCTCAAAATATTATTAACTTTGGCAACTTTATCTCGGCCGCCCAAGGTTTCACAATATGAAGCCTAAAAATGTTTTATAATTATCATAACCAACCGAAATTTAATTGATGCGCACCAAAGCAGAAAGATTTTTGTCAAGAGCAAGATACTCCTCAATTGATTTTAAATCTTCAATATTTTGTAGTGGGATTGCAACTGGCATATCCTTGGGTGGGACTAATTTCAATCCAGTTGCACCCTGCCGATCTTCAAGGATATTTAGAATTTTACTATTCTGTTGCTTAATTTGCAGGAGGACAGTGATTAAATTTTTTTGGAAATCTTGAAATATAAAAAAAATATCTGAAATCGTCAAGTTTACAGTTCAACACTTACCAATAGGAGTCAACACCAAAAATAAAAAAAAAGTCAATTTCGAATCAAAACAATAAAAAATAATGGAATTTGCCATAGTCAAAATACTATAGGTATATGCTATATGGATAATAGAAGTAAAAATTAATACCTGAAACTCTTAAGCAGTTATCCTTATCCTTGTCAAAATCAACTATATTTTGTTCAGGGCTGTTCTCTCTCTCACTATTCACTAAAATAGAGAAAATAATCGCGGTAAGATATTAGATAATTATTATTTGGTTGTAGCTAAATTATAATTCAATAAATTTAATTATTATTAATACCTGACTTTTCTACATCACTTTCTTGGGATTGCCGAGGGAATAGCTGCACTTTTGGAGGAAGTTCATTGTCCCAATTAATTCTAGATTTTTGTGAATTACCTTTAAAAAATGTAAGTTTCACTACTTTACTTCCTGGTTAAACAAATAAATATTTGAAGCTAAAGTATTAACAAAAATAGAAGAATAAATATGCGGCCTGTTTTCTTTTTAGAAAAAAAAAGCCACAATAATTTTTGGCTTTCTGCGAGGACACTATTATACTAGTGATAGCAATTAATCTTTGGATCATTCTAATCAGTTATCTATGCTGGAGGCTTTAATTATTTGCCCATTTGATTAATTCCCAATATCTCAAATTTTAGTACACACCTAAATATTACTCCAAACAACAAACCAAACTACGAACAAAACACTAACGTGGACAAGGCTACGAATGCATTTGCTAACAGGTTTGCAAATCCTGGCCATTCTGAGCCCCATCTACATTAGTGTTTTGTTTGTGGTTTGGTTCGTTGTTCTGTTTGGCCTTAGGCATAATGTTCAAGTCTGTACAAAGCTTAACCAAAACTGTTAAGATGGCAGTCATAGCACTATAGTCATATAAATAGAAAATAGAACTCACTTGTTCCACTTTGGACCCTTTTTAATTGTAGCTTCTTCGGAGGGGGTTCATTCGCCTCACTTTCATCGCTGCTTTCAGTGAAAAACAATTTTCTATTCAGCTTTCTGGGACGTTTTAGGGGTAATTTTTCCTCAATATCGGTTGCCACATCCGAAGTTACTTCTGCCTTTTTCAATTTCAATGAGGCCTTTTGATAATTATCTTGAAAAAATATACAAATTCAAATACTGCATAATAGAAAATACAAAGAAGAAATCGTAATGAAAATGTTGCAAAATTAAATTCCACTACTTGGATATCATTCATAACCTCACATATCAAAAGGCTTGACCTAGATTGATATACCTTCGAAGTTCACAACTGCTTTTACTTACCCTCCTGAAAAAATGATTTTTCCACTTTAAAAAGACTCCACTGTTCGTTAGGTGTCTCTCCTTTCCTGAGACTTTTAACGAAAACCTCATGCTGTTTGTGGGGTGGCCACCATACCTCTTTTTTGCGTGGCGTCAACCATTTTTCATGGACAAGAGATATGGTGCCCCCATCAGCCTCAGTAAACTGGATGCCTACAAACATTTTCTTCTCCTATTTTTTGTCTTCACATACCTTCACAATTGAATTAACAACGCGATAAATTAGCACGGCGGTTGGTTTGGCGCGAGCCGCAAATGGCACCATTAAATGATAATGGCGCGGCCGGCGGGAACGGTTAACGTCAACGGTCTGTCGACTGTCAGTCTGCCTACCACGGGTCCGCCGCATGATGTTCGCGGTCCGCCGTCGCGATAATAGCGAATTCTATTGGTAGAACCAGTGCAGAAGAAAAATGTGTTTTTATCTCTTTCTTATTTAAGCTGATAGAAAAAGAGACGAATGCACTCAGTGCGCACACACTTCCAATAAAATTCGCTATTAGTTATATAGTTATTGGCCCTGTTACCCCTGTTCGGGGAAAAAAAGACGGTTCTAGAACGGTTCAAAACAATTGCACAGTTTAATATTGAAATTTGTGATAACCGAGCCGTTGTCATTTTTATTAATTGATGAACCGTGCGATTGTTTTGAACCGTTCTAGAACCGTCCATTTCTCAAACCCGAACAGGGTTATCGTTTTTGGAATTTTCATGCACCCAGCACCATTCGCTATAGTACATATATAGTTATTTCCATATTGTTTATCTACGAATAGCCGCTTATGATACTAATTATATAGGTCAGTAAAGTCACGTCATAATGACGTTATAATATTACCAAGAATAATTACACCCAAACTCGTATCCAAAATGACGTCATCACGACGTCCCAATCTGGGACCTAGAAAGACCTCGACGTATTTGACCTGTTTTCGACGTGATTATGACGTTTTTTGACGTCACCTTGCTGGCTGGGATGTATACATCTACTTCTTTCGCATTTAGCCGTTGTGATTTTGTCATGGTTTTTAGCAGTGTCCGGATTACGGAGGGTGAAAATCTGAAAATGTCTGAACTGTAGCGAGTGCCCAATTGACTGGAGTGTACGGTTTACGGGGTGTACGGATTGTCGAAGTTATACTGGAATTCATTAGATAGGGGAGCGGGTGGGAATGGCGCTCACCTAAGCCAAAACTTTTTTTTGGGACTTATTTTCATCAGAGGAATCTGGAAATCTATTTGAGTAATAGTTATTTATACACCAAGTTTGTTAAATTAATTTTTATTCATGAGAAGAAAGTTTAACCCACGAGCCCTAGCTAGTGGGTTAATGTTATTCGAATGAATAAACATTTTAACTCACGTGATTTATACAAAATTTTATCCCATTTCGATAAACATTTAAAAAATAAGGTAGGTTCTTAATAGGAATCCAATTATAATAGTATATTATATACCTAGGTAGAGAAGTTGGTTATTATATTATACCGAAAGCTTTTATAAACCGAGGCGCGCAGCGCCGAGGTTTTTAATGCTTGAGGTATATAATGACTTTCTCTACCGAGGAATATATAGAATTTTTTTTACTACTGCTAGTAGAAAATAAAAAATTTGTTTAAAATCTGTGTTCTAATTATTTTTTGTGAACGCCCTCTTGATAGTGCTGCCCTCTATCAACAGCTTATATAACTTCCTATGTACCTACAGAAACCTGTATTTTTTTTCAAATTGACGTATGAAATTGAAATTGAACCAATAGAAACATGACAATATCCTTGCGTCATGGCGTCATTTTCATTATTGACCTAGGTATTTTTTCATTATTTTCATTATTAACCTAGGGAGAGAAATTCAATTTTTTCTTAGAAAAATAGATTGAATAATGTCTATTTCTCAGGTTAGTAGTAAAAAAAAAGATTTAGTAGTTATGAAAGCGCTAATTATTGAAATTGGTGGTTGCTAAGGTATAACTAATTTTTTGGTTGTATTTGTAGCAGAGTTTTATACTGGCAGAGTGACTTAAAAGACCGAGAGTGAGTTAAAAATATTTTAAGTCACTCAGGTAATAAACGTCTACTTACCTTTGTTATTATGCGTTCAATAATGTCATTTTTAAACGTCAAAATGGAATAAATAGTATTTATTGTTTTATCCAACACCTGCTAGTTATAAGAGTCATTATTTGTGTCAATTTAGACAGGTAAACTATCAAATAACACACTAGTGTGTTATAATCCATAACTCACTACTAGTGGGTTATGGTTTATAACTCACTCTCTTATAACGTCAACGCAAAACATCAGGAAATAAAAAATTATAAATCCTGCTTTAAAGAAGGCTCGTTTACAAGAAATACGTGTTAGTTTTTTCCTCGGTTTTTTCAGTTCTTGTGACTTGTATGCTGCTCGCGTGTTATAATTTCTCAGTTGTTAGATGAAACATTGTATGCTACTCGTGTGTTATGTTTTCTAAGTCACTCGAGAAATTATACCACTCGGCCTGACGGCCTCGTGGTATAAATTTTTCTCGTGTGACTTATTTTCAACATAACACACTAGTACCATTTTTGGTTTTTAAATAAAAGATTGACATTGATAAATAATTCACCCATAAAAAATATCAGATGCTTTTTAATAGCTGAAAAAGTGGGGATGAGTGTCAACTTCCAAGAGAAAAGAAAAGAAACTTCCGCGTTTACTTTTTGTCTGGCAATCGAGAGAATAAAAGGTTTTGTTGTGAAAATAACGCTGACAAATCGCCAGACGGTAATCACAGTTCGAAATCGAGTTTTGCGGCGAAACATTCTGTGAACATTTCGAACAGGGAGTATGCATTAAAACCACCTATATTCTCATCAACAAATTAGCCAGATTCAGCCCTCGAAATTCCAGATAAAAAGAAAATGACTCCGCTAAACTCAGGGTCTATAAATTTAAGTCTCATTTTCAAATGATATGTTCTTTAAACCTGAAATTTTTACAGTATTTTTCCTCTTGTAACCTCTAAGTGGATATACCGTATATCCCTACTATAGCTACACTTAAACTTACCAGGCAGCTCAATCGTAGGTGAGCTTCCTGCTTTCAAAGGTGCTTTGGGTAGCAATTTATTAATACAAAATGGTGAAAAATGATTTGCACATATTCTGTAATTCTTATACACTTGTTGTGGACGTAGCAGTTTTAATTTCTCATTCCCTATCCAAGAAATCCAGATTGTAAATATCTGTAACAGATAAATATTATTTAAAAAGGGGAAAAACGTTGTAGTAGCCCAATGTGCCTGGAATCAGCCTTAACTGGAGCCATAAATATATTTTACTAGCATAATGTGCGATCGTGAAATTGATTTTTTTGAACCCATATCCTATCCATAGACTGGTCACTGGGTTACATTTGCCTTACCTAAACTCTATTAAAGTGGCGTATGGTGAGGTAGGGAAAACTCACCGCAGCTGCCAATGGTAAAATCGGCTACCTAGGACAAAATTATGCAAGAGTCCTGGTTCTGAACGCCTCGAGCCCGGAAAATATTACTGACCAAAAGCCTACCGCAGGGTCCGCCGGAGGCGATAGTTCTTATCGGGTGCCACGCCGAAAAACATTTATCTTAAGCCTTAAATAGTTATTAACGTTATACCTAAGGCCGATAAGTAGCAAATAACGGTCGGTCCGGGCTGAAGTCATATGTTATATTAAGATAACAGTACAGTATCATGAAAAAAATAATGGGTGTATTGAACATGTCGTCGTGAAATACGAATAACTTCAAAAAATCCCCCCCTCGGACGCCTTGAAAGAAGAAATTCGGAAACATCCGAACCGATAAAAGCCCTACTCGCGGGAAGCGAGAAAATTTTCGGGCGTGACGCCCAAATTTTTACCCTAAAAGTCGTTAAAAAACACGCTTCAGTCACAATAGTATATTAAAGTATAAGTGGATATAAGGGTCTTTAAAACACGCGTGATTTTTCGAGCACGACGGCGCAGCCGGAGTGCTCGAAATAGAGCAAATGTTTTAAAGACCAGTTATCCATGAAAACTTTACACTATTTTTTTTTATTGGTATATGTTTAAATCAAAAATTACTAATAATTGTAGAATGCTAAATTCGTTGACACTTGTTATATTTCATTTGACGTTATCTACAAGTACCTACTCCTGACAAATTAATAATTAAAAAGTTGACATTTAGGCTTTACCTACTTTTCTTGGGTTGTTGATGTTGTCATGATAACTTTAAAACACGCGCGTTTTTGAATGTTGGATTTAAACACGCTGAGGAGTACTTTAAATATGTAAAATGGGTTATCAATAAAAAAAAAATCTTTTGATGGCACATACGCGAAAATTAAAAAATATAAGCTGTGCTTTCCACACTTCCATGGACCGCACGCCACTATGTATTCGGACTAGGTACTAGAATATCTATCTTAATTCCTTATCCATTTAGATTTTAAAGAGTATCTAGTGAAACTAATGTTACATGCAAATTGCAAGTTAAGATAATATCAACACAAAAGTGGCCTGTCATAGGGCTGAGGTACTTACCGATTCATCCAAATATGGAAATCTAAACATCATGCAACTCTTATTGGAGTTCTTGCATGAAGAAACACAACAGTAAAACATGACGAACACAGACCACAGATGACAATCATAAAAATTAATAAAATTATTTATTAAAATTGAAATTGACGAGTAGATGACGTATTATGCATATGATGTTTAAAGGACGTCGAAAAACGGCGATATGGGCGCACAGCGGTTTAGTCACGAACTAAAAAAAAAAAGTGGAGGGGATGAATCTAGTGAATGTTCTATTTAAGAATTTATTTTCCACTTAACTATTATAGATCCATAATACCAAGGAAACGAAATACGTTAACATACCTATAACAACCTGAAGGCATTATAAGCCCAGCGGGAGCTATGATCCATAACGCCCGCTTATAATACCCTGAGGTATTTTTGTTGCTGTTGTTTTATTAATTTGCACTTTACCCTAGGCAGTCACTAAATGCCCGACCGAAAATAATTTTCGGCCTGGCCAGTATTCGAACCCGGTCTACCATCAACGTTTCCCATGTAATCCAGCGCGTTAACCCACACGACCACCACCGCTGCCTTGCTTTATGATATGTTTATGGATATATTAATTTAT